GAGAGGGAGTGTGTGTGTGTGTGTGTGTGTGTGTGTGTGTGTGTGAGTGAGTGTATGCATCCCTTATGAAAATCAACCATGGTTTTACTACAAATAAAAAACATGGTTACTATAGTTAAACCAAGGTAACCACAAATTAACCATGGTTTTGCTACACCAACCATAGTTTAACCATGGTATTTGTACAGTAGTAAAGCTGTGGTTATACAAATGGCAATCAATATGCCAAAAAAAAAAAACATGGTTACTACACTTTTATTATAATAAAACCATGGTTAATTTTCGTAAGGTATGTGTTTGTGTGCGTTTGAGTGAGAGGGAGTGAGTGTGTGTGTGTGTGTGTGTGTGTGTGTTTTGTGCACAAGGGCGTGTGATGCGTCAGTGCAGCAGTGTTGGTGCAGTAGTGCTTGTAGTTAGCATGCATCATGCATGCTGCTCCTGCTTGTCACTTTCTGCTTTCAGCTGCTGCCACCGGATAACCCAGCTATGGGTAAATAGTAAAATCCTCAACGACGGCGCAGGCGAAGATGGTGGTGTGTGAACCATTACAACGGCTGGGAAGGCGGAAGAAGGCAATCCCACAGCCACGTGGGTTAACTCGGGAGGGTACCGTGGCTAGGGGAGCAAACCCTGAAAACAAACCTGCACTTGAGGGCAGGCATAGGCGGAGTCCAACTGACCGGACTACCGGCAGCCCCCTGCAACTTCCTGCCAGTCGAAGGTCATCATGGGTTCTCTCATGCCACTGGAGGTCTATCTGGTAGGAGTGAAGATGGTGGGAGTGAGGTCTGCGCACCCACACTCCCACCCTAATCTATACCTATGCGCAAGCTTCTTGCTACAAGAAACTCAACTGCACAGTGCTGAACAACCGCACCACCAAAGACAACCTACGATGGCTCCTTGCTGAAAACCTCAGCAAGATCCCAGAAGAATCAGCAGACTGGCCAGCTTTACGCCAGGCTATTTATAATGCAGCCTTAGAGGCGCTCGGCCAATTAAGGAAACATCACCAGGACTGGTTCGACTGTAACTCAGCCGAGATACAGTCACTCCTAAAAACCAAGCATGAAGCCCACAAAGCTCTCTTGTCCTGCCCTGGATCTTCCACCCTTATAACCTCCTTCACTGCTGCAAGAGCAGAAACCCAGCGAGCCCTCCGGACTATGGAGAACACCTGGTGGGTGAAAAAGTCGCAAGAAATTCAGAACCTGGCAGACTGCAATAACACTCAAGGCTTTTACGATGCCTTAAAAGCACTGTATGGCCCCAGGAAACGGGCGATCGCCCCAGTTCGATCAGCTGATGGGTCCACGCTTTTTAAGGACCGCCACGAGATTCTTGCACGTTGGGCAAATTATTCTGAGAGTCTCTTCAACCACACCAACCTTGCTGATCCACATATCCTGGATAATCTGCCAGACCTGCCACCAACCATGCACCTGGACACCCCACCACTTTACTCTGAACTCCGGCAAGCCATTGCAGGGCTGAAGAACAACAAATGCGCTGGACCCGACGGAATCCCTGCAGAGGTTTTCAAACACGGAGGATACATCCTCACGCACCGTCTCCATCTCCTGATCCAAAACATCTGGGAACATGGGTCCCTCCCACAGGACTGGAAGGATGCTAACATCGTGGTCATTTACAAGCAGAAAGGAGACAGAGCAGTCTGCGGTAACAGCCGCGGGATATCTCTCCTCTCCATCGCAGGGAAAGTCCTGGCCAAGATCATGCTCAGCAGATTGGTCGAGCACATCTCGGAGGCTGTGCTTCCGGAAACTCAGTGTGGCTTCCGGAAGTCCAGATCCACGACAGACATGGTTTTTGTCTTGAGGCAGCTGCTGGAGAAGAGTCGAGAACAGCACAAAGACCTTCACGTAGCCTTCATCGACCTCAGCAAAGCTTTTGACACCATCAACCGTGAGCTGCTGTGGAGAAACCTCTCCAAACTTGGGGTACCACCCAAGTTTCTTAGCATCCTACCGCAGCTGCATGATGGGATGCAAGCCAGAGTACTCACGGAAGAACTCCAGTCTGAGTCTTTCGAGGTAAACGTTGGGGTGAAGCAAGGCTGTGTCTTGGCTCCGGTGCTCTTTAACATCCTCCTCTCTGCCATCACCTGCCTCTTCCATCGTGTCATGGGGCATGAAGACGGTGTCCATGTGGAATATCGACTTGACGGTAGCCTCTTTAACATCCGTCGACTCCAGGCCCGCACAAAGTCCCGCCAAATCTGTGAGCTTCAGTATGCTGATGACTGTGCCATTTTGGCCCACAGCCCGGACTCTATGCAGCACGCTCTAAATACAATATCTAGTCTGTACCAATCTTTTGGTCTACAGGTTAACACTCAAAAAACCGAGGTTATGTCCTATCTCTCTACCCCCGCCCCCATACCCCCCAGTTTTCACATAAATGGTGTGACCATTTGTCACACCATAAATGGTTCACTTAAAACAGTGGACCACTTCACCTACCTCGGCTTCACCTTGTCCTCATGTTGCTCCCTTGACACAGAAGTACACACCCGAATAAATAAAGCCTCATCATCTTTTGGACGCCTACGCAGCAGGGTTTTTGAAAATCATAACCTGAAGATCAGTACCAAGGTCGCTGTTTACAATGCGGTATGTCTCTCCACTCTGCTTTATGGGGCAGAGTCATGGACCCCATACCGCCAGCACATTATTAACCTAGAGGCCTTCCATATCCGCTGCCTACAGAAGATCCTCAATTTGTCCTGGGAAGCTCGAATTCCTCACACAGTCATCCTTAGCAATACTGACTCAATCTGCATGGAAGCAGCAGTGGCCCAAAAACATCTGCGTTGGCTAGGGCACACCATACGCATGCCTGAACATCGCCTGCCCCACCAAGTCCTCTACAGTCAACTAATGGGCGCAAAGCGCTCTGCTGGAGGGCAAAAACGGCGCTTTAAGGATTACACCAGGGACCTCCTAAAGCGAGCGAACATTCCCCTCACGCAGCTTGAATCTCTGGCACTTGACAGGTCAGCCTGGCAGGTCACCTGTGCCACTGCAGTCTCTCAAATACATCAAACCAACCAAGACCGACGATCCGAGAGACGCACTAAGAGACACCAGAGGGCGGCTGGTACCCCCCTGGTATCTGGTTTCCCTTGCTCCATCTGCGGAAGAGTGTGCGGCTCAAGGATCGGACTCGACGCCCACGAGAAGTGGCACCAGCGGCAACATCGCTGAACCCACCCCCTTCCCACTCCCATCTCTTGAGCAAGCGTCATCATCGAATACGATGGACAGCTAAGAGTGTGTGTGTGTGTGTGTGTGAGAGAGTGTGTGTGTGTGTGTGTGTGTGTGTGTAATGTGTGTGCGTGTGTGCATGCAGAACTTGAGTTTTGTGATAATTCAGTGATAGTTTACTAACACTTTACTTGAGGCCTTTAAATATAATGCAATATAAAAGTATTGCAATGAATCATTAATGCCTTGTAATGCATATTATAATGCAGCAAATGATCTCATGAATAAATACAACCATGGTTAAAATAAATGATAATACTTATACATTCATTATTACACCTTTAGAAAGTATAATGCATTAAATCACACGACAAACAACCAGTTTCAGATGTAACAAGGAATCTGCAAATATTATAATGTATTTTAACTTACTACCTATTTGAAAAATGAAACATTAACACAAACCATTGTCGTCTAGCTCTGAACTGTGATTAGTTGGAGTGCTATGGTTAGAGATGGTTAGGTTAGTCTGGGTTAGTCACACAAACACGAAGGAAAGTAAATGTTTCTTAAGGTTAGGTTCCTTAGGTAATCTCATAAAACATTACTTAGGAGTGGAATAAACTCTCAGCTCTTGCTGTTTCTATTCTGCGTGCTGTGATTTGTGTGTGTTTTCTTACCCCGGTAAACACGGTCCGCACTCGGCGTCGCTCTCCAGAGTCCCTGGCGTCAGGACGGTGGCGCGGTACAACGAGTCGCAGTCTTTGTGGCGACGGCAGATCTCGTATTTGCCTTTGGAGAACTTCCCGGCCGGACAGGAGATGCAGGTGTAATCGTCATCTTTAGTGCCATAACCACAGTTCTGAAAAACACACGGTACACAGATCACTTCACACTCCATCTACAATCTACTGCTTATCAGTGTTGGGGGTAATGCATTACAAGCAGTGTTGGGGAAAGTTACTTTTAAAAGCAAAGCATTACAATATTGCGTTACTCCCTAAAAAAGTAACTAATTACGTTACTTAGTTACTTTTTATTGAGAAGTAATGCGTTATGTTACTTTTGAGTTACTTTTTAAATCTGGGCAGGGCTTGCTTGTTTGTTTTTAATATAAAAAGTTATTCTTTTACAAAGGTAGAAGCACTTTCACAACAAGAGTGAAATTAATCTGCCTCAGGCTGAAGGAAATGTAAATTCACGTCTGTACAGTAGAGGGCGCAGCATGAAGATTATGACGCAGAAGAGAAGAAAGTTCAACACTATTCAGCAATTTTTGCTTATTAGTATGATTAAAATAGATCATCGAAGGTCAGTAGCAAAGACATTGGAACAAGACAAAGACAAGCTACTACTAAATATATTGTAGAAACTTAATTTTCTGTAAAGTTGCTTTGCAACGATTTGTATCGTGAAAAGCACTATACAAATAAACTTGAATTGAAATTGGTTAATAAAATGGGATTAAATACATAAATGACATTTTACTTATTTAACATATTTAATTATTGCAGGTTTGTAGAATATTCTGAGTTTGCGTTTGAACTGTTTTTATTGATTGTGAGGAACACTGAATGTGTTTGTGTGCAGTGAGATGAGTAAACACATGTTGATATTTAGTCTAGAACTACAGTAAGATCATGTTCACACACAACGCTCTGCACTTAAAAAGTAATCTGATTACATAACTCGCGTTACTTGTAATGCATTAGCCCCAACACTGATTACAAGCAGCATGAGTTACGTAATCAGATTACTACTTACTAGGTAACTAAAGTCATGCACTACTTTTTAATTTACAAGAAAATATCTGAGTTACTTTTTCAAATGCATAATGCAAGTTACTTTGTTTCCCCGTTTATTGACTGACAGCTCTGGTGTTGCCATGGTGAGAGAAATTGGTGCAGAAGCACTTCCTTCAGCCTGAGGATTATTCATTTCACTTTTGGTGTAAAAGGGTCTTTACAGTTGCCAAAATTATAACTTTTGGGACATTCAGTTCAGGTGACAAAAAGTAACGCAAACATAACAATGCATTACTGTCCATAAAAAGTAACTAAGTAATGCAGTTTGTTACATTTTTATGGAGTAACACAATATTGTAATGCATTACTTTTAAAAGTAACTTTCCCCAACACTGGAACTTAAACAATACACACTGATTCCAAACAGAGATAAACGAGAAAATAACAGTGCTGGAAAATTATGAAACAACTTCAATCTCAGCTTTAAAGTAGGGAAAGCTTATTTCCACCATGGGATTAAAAAGTGTGACTTCATATCTTGTAATTCTGACTTTCTGTTTTTTTGTTTATAAATAAATAAATAAAAAGTCATTCCGACTTTGCATCTCACAACTCAGACTTTTCTGATTAGAAGAAATATAAACTCAGAATTGAAAGATATAAACACAGAATTCACAATCACACACACACACACACACACACACACACACACACACACACACACACACTCATTGAAAGATATAAACACGGAATTCCAAAAAGAAAAGGAAAAAACAGAATTGCAAGATGTAAACTTTGAACTGCAAGAACAAGTCTTTATATCTCGCAATTCTGGCTTTAAAAAAATAAGTAAAAAGGTAATTGTGACTTTTTCATTTCACAATTCTCACAATTTGTGAGACTTTTTCTCGCAATTCTGAGAAATATAAAATCAGAATAACAAGACATAAACTTGTTTTAAAATTATGAGATATAAATGCAGATTTTTAAGAAAAATGTTTTGTTAAATTTTGATGTCAGATTTGTGACAAAGTTTAAATTACCTTTTTTATTCTTTTATTCTGTTGTGGAAAGAAAAAAAACTGATTTGCAAGATATGAAATCTGAATTCAGAAATATAACAAAAAGTAAGAATTCTGATTTTATATCTTGGAATTATGACTTTAAAAATAAAAAGGAAATTCTGACTTTTTAACTCACAATTCAGATTTTTTCCCCCTTGCTATTCAGAGAAATATAATCACAGAATTGCAAGATATAACCTCAAACGGCACGAAAAAATTAATAATTGCAAGACAAAAAGTTGCAATTACCCTTTTAATTTTTTAATCTGTGGTGAAAATAAAATAAAAACAGAATTGCGAGAAATGAACTTGTTAAACAGCTTGTTGTATTCCGCATTTGTAAGTCACTTTGGATAAATGCATCCTGTTCTGACTGTTTGTATAGTCATTTAATTTGGAGTTTATTTTATTGGTTGAGACGCATCATGTGACTTAGGTTAGAGGTCATGGCAGCCATCTTAGATTTCACTTCACAACAGCAGTGATGCAGCAGTAGATTTCTCCCTGATAAAAGCTATATTCTTGTTATTTCATGCCAGAGGCCATCGTCTGTAAGTTTAATTGTTTATTGAATTTCCGAACAGCTGGATCTTCTGATTAAGTGGCTGGGCAGTAAGTCATCAGAATACGTGAGACGCATTAGGTCAGTGAATATAAGGTATCCTGATGTTGGGCTTAAAATGGCTTGGGACCGTTTAGAGGAGATGTATGGATCCCCTGAGGTGGTTGAGAAAGCACTTTTTGACAAGATTGAGAAATTCCCAAAAATCAGTAAACAAGATCCTCTGAAATTACAAGAGCTCGGAGACCTGCTATGTGAGATTCAGTCGGCTAAAGCGGAAGGTTACTTGCCAGGACTTTCATACTTGGACACCTCCAGAGGTGTCAATCCAATTGTGGAGAAGCTCCCTTACCACCTACAAGAAAAATGGATTTATCAAGGTTCGGAGTACAAAAGGAAGTACAACGTTACCTTCCCTCCATTCTCTTTTCTTACTGACTTTGTCTGTCAGGAAGCACGTGCTCGAAATGATCCAAGTTTTAGTATTGGTACATCCATAATAAAACAGATTGAAGCAGAGTCTTTGGTTAAAAAGCAAATGCAAAGAAGGATCCCTGTGTCTACCCATAAAACGGGCGTGGCATCATCAGTGGGATTTCCTCCTACAAGAAGTTCTGATAATGAACCTATTGATGTAGAAAAGCAGTGTCCTATACATAAAAACAAACCTCATCCTCTGAGACGTTGCCGTGGGTTCAGAGCAAAGACTCTAGAAGAGAGGCAAACACTGCTTAGAGAAAACAGTGTGTGCTATAGGTGCTGTGCGTCCACCTTTCACTTGGCAAAGAACTGCAAAGCAGTAATTAAATGCAATGAATGTGAGAACCATACCTAGATTAGAGCTAGGAAGTAGAAGTCCTGGCAGTAGAAGTGGCGGAATTCATTCAAAATGAGTTAGACATTCACTCAAATGCTGTAGAATTCTATTCCGACAGTAAAGTGGTGTTGGGGTATATTCATAACGAAACCAGACGGTTTTATGTATACGTGAGTAATAGAGTTCAGCGGATCAGGAAATCGACGAGGCCAGAACAGTGGCATTATGTTCCCACAAGTCAAAATCCTGCCGATCAAGCGACACGTTCAGTACCTGCCTCAGATTTGAAAGACTCCACATGGATTTCTGGGCCTGCCTTTCTTTCTCATTCTGATTCAGAGTGTCTTGAAGACAATCAGACACACATCCTAATTGACCCTGATTCAGATGTGGAAGTGCGTACTAACCGTACCGATCTGACACCCTATGACTTTCCTGTTTGTCTTGGCTCACATCGCTTTGAGCGCTTTTCGACCTGGAAATGTCTCAGACGAACTATATCCAACTTAATCCACATTATACATTCATTCAGACCCAAAACTGAGATAGTGAGTGCCTGTAAAAAATGGCACCTTTGTGACAAAACACTCACAGAGGAACTTTCACAGGCAGAAGTTGTAATAGTACAATGTGTTCAACGAGAGAGCTACCCTGTTGAGTTTGCTTGTCTTTCTGTAGGAAAGGATATTCCAAAGATGAGTGGACTGAGAACTCTGAACCCCTTCATTGACCAGGATGGGCTTCTGAGGGTAGGTGGCAGACTCAAGCATGCTCCCATTGAACAAAGAGAAAAGCATCCCATTATCATTCCTGGGAAAAGTCACATAGCCCTTCTGATCACGAGACATTTTCATGAACGGGGGTGCAACTTACTTGCAGCAGGGACAGAATACATCCGCTAAATAAATAAATGTAAATGTAAACTCGGAATTGCAAGAAAGAAAGTCAGACTTTTGTCAGAATTGCAAGATAGTTTCTCAAAATTCTACAAGTTTTTATCTCACAATTTTGACATTTTTTTACTTCGTAGTAGTAAAGCATCTCTGCAGAAGACAATAGAGTCATTATTCAGATCAGTTCTAGTTTATGTTCTCATCTAATAGTGTCAGTGCAGTTAAATCAATGATAATACTGAATGTGAATTATGTCATTGATTGTAATGCATTGAAGCGTGTGACGTACAGATCTGCAGACCTCATCTTTAACCCATCAGAAATGAATCGCAGCACTGAACATCCAGTTGTTTTTAATCCTCAAAAATGAAGCAAGCGATGATGCAGCAGCTGCTGGAGTTTAGCGAGCTGCCAGAACCATCCGCTGAAACATGCTTAATGAGAAACATCCCAGCAGCGGTGCTCAGATTCACATTCATTGTGTTTCATAATCCAGATCCCAAGAATAACATCTGAGCATGCTTTTCCTTCACTATCCACAACAACTCTTCCATTTCGTACTGATTCGGAGCGCTCATGACATGAAAGACTTCATCAGAACGTCTCCCGAGGCCGTTTCAGCTTTACTATTATTGTCTTGTCAATGCTCTCAAGCGCTGAGCTCTTAATTAGCGTAATGAGGTGATGATGCGTCTTTGGTGGGCAGAGGTGCAGCGCTTTGTTCTTTTGGCCTCCGGTGTCGGTTTGGGAGTCTTGTGCGGAGATAAAAGAGATTGAGATGTTGGTACTCGCCATATGTTCTGATTTAAAACTTATTGAG